TTCCAAAAAAATCGAGTGTTTTTAACAAAAAAATATTAGTGATATGGATATATAAATTATTACAGGTAAATAATTTTTGCTTCTCAATTTTATATAAAACCTTTTTTAGTTAAGTCTTATTACTATCTATCCGGTACATAATCCATTCCTTTATAACAAAATTTTTTTCTAATTAATCTGTATTGACCATTGTTAATTAATGTTAATCAGTATTTTAAAAAACATTGTATTTGACAGAATAAACCTGATGATGGAACGTACCTAGTTCCGAAACGTCGTATTAAACATCTTCAAAAAACAAATTGTTTTTTATTATTGGATTTACTGTTCGGAAAAGAAACAATCAATATATATATATATATAAAGAGGATATATATATCAATATATATCCACGTTACCCATTACTCATTTATATCGGTTGCAAATTATATGTAAGATACCGCGTTTATCACAAAAATTGTTTTTCGATTTATTTTTATAAATGCACATTTTTTCAATCGACATTTCTCATAACCGTCCCGGATCTCTTTCTGTTTGAATCATATATAAATATTCGATATTTGAAAGTTTAATTTTAATATTAAATGTGGTTCCGAAAAGAAGAACATTTTAGTGTAATATAATTGTAATTAGTGATTTAGTTCGTTCGTTGATTGTTGGAATAAGATTATTGAAAAACATGTAAGATAATAAATATACATAACTTATTTATATATATATATATATATATATATATATATATATATATTATTATATATAGTTTATATTACAAAGCCCAGTAGTCTGACATTTTCGTGACCAATTTTTATTGGAAATTTTAGGAAATTTATATATATATATATATATATAAATAAGCCTAAGTCGTACCCCTCTGACTAACCATTAATGATTTTTTTTACTAATATAGGTGTTTTTACTTTTATCAAAAATGTACTTTCGGAACCAGGCATTTAGTCAGTTATTTAATTGTATTTATGGAGCACTCTTTATTGGACCGGTATAAGTAATCAGTATTTAACTAAACAAATGTCTAAAAAAGATATACAAAGTAATGAATATAAAACATCATCAGTATCAGTAATGAACAAAATTCAGAATCAAAGTCTTGTAATAAATGACTTATAACTGATAAATAAAAAGTAAAAAATATTAATATGTGGAAACTTTACAAAAAGCTTACTTACCAATTTTTTCTATTTTCTCAAAGTCTTCCAGTCTTCTAATTCTTAAAGTCACCCAAAATAGAATTTCTTTGTTTTTGTGGTACGACTTAAGGAACTCTAAGTGAACCGAAAAGATCCAATACAAAAAATTAAAAAAAAAAACAGAACAAAGATTACACTTCATTTTGTCTATTTTTATTTGATTATTATTCCTTACTCTAAAATATTTGGGAAAAATTGGGCTTAATTATGTTTTTGGACTTTTTATTTATTTATTTTCTATCTTTATTATTTACTAGGTTTTAACCATAGTGAAAAAATTTAGTGTTATTTATACGAGTGAATTTCTATTATTATTTTATCTATTTTTATTATTAGGGTTATCAAATAGTAGAACATGAAACAATGGTGAATGAAAGCTAGGACTTTTTTTAAAAAAAATTTTTTTTATTGATATATATATATATATATATATATATATATATAAATATACAAGACGAAACGCTTTTGGGGCAGCAATCCAATAAAAATTAATATTAAAATAAATTAAATAAAATTAGCGATGCCTGGCATCGTGCCTTAAGACAAATTGTTGGAACTTCTCGTACTAACAATTAAAATTTTTACAAAAGATTCAAGTTTCTTTTAGAACTCGATTTTTCAGATATTTAAATTTTTGAAAAAAGTTAACCTTTTTGAAAATTTTGATTTTTTTATACTTGGAAATATTTTGCAAAATTTGAACATTTTTTCAAAACAATCCCCAAAAAGTAATCAGCACGTCTCTTTATCAATAGAAATCGAATATTTTTTTAATTATTCAAATCGGTTAATCCGTGTTCCCGAAATCGTCGACGAAAATTTGTATCCGCACACACACACACACATACATCCATTTTTTCTAAGGTATATAAAATATTCAGAAATCTCTGAAACGTAAAGATATATAAAAATTTTCATTATCGATTTTTTTGCGATTACTATAACTTACCCTACGGGAAGTTAAAAATATGAAAAAAAAAAAATCAAGAGAAAAAATATGCTAGATAATTATTATCAAACTAGTTGCTAAAAAAACTATTAAATCAAAGATTGTTTTAAAGAAAACTACGTCTCACACCAAGTTTTATTAATAATAACTTTTTGACGATTTTTTTACTCAGTTGTAAAAGCCTTTTATAGAATAATTCGATTTTAATATTTGTTCCCTACTCATGATAATGTAAAAATTTTAGGCAAAATTAAATGATTAGATGAATTTGTTTAGTTAAAAATTCCTTACTCGTACCGGTTTAAGGGGGTATTCTAGTGTAGAAATTCAAAAAAATCGATTTTCAAATCATATTTTCAAAGTTTAACTATCTAAGAATATGGGTACGAGAAGGTTTTTGAAAATTTGAATTATTTTCGGAGATATAGGCATTTTACTGACTCGGTCTCCATACTGGTTTGGCTTCACGCAAAACTTTAAATGCGTTTTTCTCAAAACAGACTTTTTCAGTACTGTTGGCACGATTTCTCGAGTTTTAATCGACCGATTCACTTGAAATGTTCAGAGAGTCTTGTTTATAGACCTATCTATAGCCCAAACTATTATTTATCTCCAAATTGCAATTTTTACTATTTTTAAAAAATTCGAGAAACTCAAAAAAACAGTAAAAAAAACACTTTTTTTCAAACAGTCGGAAATTTGTAAAAAAAAATCTATTTACTCATCGCTAGTTCGGGTGATTGCGACATCATTGTAGATTAATAATTTTTTTATTTTTTGCATTTCCGATGGCTAGGAGGGCTGAAATCATGTCAAGACTGAGGTGCCAATATTTTGAGACCACCGACTTCATCAGCTGCCATTTTTTACAATTTTCAACTATTTTATTTTTTAATTTTTGTTTTGTATTTTAATAATATTAATAAACAAGTGGTAAAAAAATGGATAGTAAAAACATTCTTTGCTTTCTTTTACGACACTTTAAAAATGGCCTAAAATACATCGCTCTACACTAGAATACCCCCTTAAGAGGGAAGCCGAAGAAATATCGCGTTTTTTGAGGAATTTTTAGGGAAGGAAATAAATATTTAACTGAAACGAAACTTTCAGGTCTTATTGTTATATATTTCAACATTCTTCTTAAATTTGTTCATTAAAATATATGTTGTAATATGCCGGGTACAAGCATTTTGCCGAGGGTTAATACTAAATCAACTAAAAAGGTAGACGAATGACTAATTCCCTGATTCGTATGACATTAGTCTTAATCTATCGATTACATGTGGGTCATAAATTCGAATCACAATCATATAATAAGTTCATTTACATTAAACCACTGATCGTATCTTTTGGAATAAATCTCCTTGACCTACTTATCCAAAATCATCACCAGACTGATGATTTACTTATCTTCCTGAAAGTCTACAAATCAAAATTGTACCATGTTGCATAAATCGAGAGAGAGAAAGCCATCGTTTTATCTATTAATAATTTTAATTGAAAATATAGTTCTATTACGTAATCATAATTAGTAGACATTGATTGCTAATTAGGAGATAGATTATCGAAATTGGATATCTCATGGTTAAAAAAATATGTCTGATTGGAAAAATTCGATATGAAATTTGAGGTCAAAGGAAAAGTTTTTGGGGGTCAATAGACGGCCAATAACTTATATATATATATATATATATATATATATATATATATATTTAGGTTCGTCGTATTATTTCTAATTTTAGAGATGATGAACCTCCATTTGTTTATAACGTGTTGTTTTTAATAACAAATAATCTATCGAAGTATAATGCACATTGGCACTTTTATTTATGAACTCCAAGTGCATAAATAAAATAAAGTATCGATTGCAAATTCTTTGAGAGGTCAACAAATGATTAAATTTTGCAATCTGAGTAGCAACAAATTTTGTATTGGGATAATAATAAAAATATGGACATATTATATATATATATATATATATATATATATATATATATTCATTTTAGAAAATAGTGGGGCACATATAGTGTAAAATTTTCAAAAAATCAAATTTTAAATTTTTCCATATTTCGATAGATTATACCTATAAAAATAACATACCAAAATTTTAAATCGATATCTTAAATAGTTTTTGAGTCACAGTCATTTAAAGAGTGTATATCTAGTATATAGTATAACGATCATTTAATCTTCAAACGCGTTTTTCTCGAAACAGCATTTTCCGAATTTGCTGCAGCGATTACTCAAAAACAAATGATCCGATCACTATCGAATTTTTTTTACATGTTCTATATATAGTTCTCCGTAAAATGAACTATCGATTTTTCGATCGAATCAAAAATCGAATTTTGGCAGTCCAAAAACGACCAAAATTTTGGGTAAAATTCGACTTTTTTTTAAAAACGCCGTCATATTGTCAATCTTTTGATTTTTTTCTTTATCGTAGTTCATTTTACAGACAATATTATCTAGTTTAATGAACATTTTTTTTTTTAAATTTCATCCACGTAGAAGGCCGGAATCACTGCTGCAGTAAAGGGCCTTTTTGTGTCGCGCCGTTGGAGATCGATGATAACTTGAAAAATATTTAATTTTTTTCTTCAAAAATTTTATTATGTATTCTTAAAACATGTATAAATATATTTCTAAAATTTTGAAATGATTGATGAAGTAGTTTTTTTAATATAAATTTCCAAAAATCACCTTTTTTTAAGGCGGTTACACTAGTTGTGCCCCTTAAAAAATCAATTGAAATTTTTGATCTTACGGTTTATCGATTGCCATAGTAACCGGTTTAAACAAAATTTATTTATTACAAATTTGTTGTAAATTTCAGATTAGTCAAAATGTCGGCTAACAAATCCTTAGCAGTATTATTAATTATTTTGGGTTCGGCCCTTTTGGTGTCATCCAGACCCGAAACTAGGAGCCACTATTGTGGCTCCAAATTGGCGGATGCCCTAAAAAAGATTTGTTCGGGGAGATATAATGGACAAAGTTATGGACATACAGGTAAATAAATATATATATATTAAAGTTAATTGTCTACAATTATTATATTTTTTTCAGGTTCAAGTTTAAGCCTAGGTTCCTATTCAAGAAATCATCAGAGAGGAGTTGCCTTCATGTGTTGTACAAATCCTTGTACAATAAGTACTTTGGCATCTTATTGCGAAGGAGGCCACTCAGAAATAATAGAGTAAATATTTATTAATTTATTTATTTTAATATATATATATATATATATATATATATATAAATATATATATTAATATATATATTATTTGTGAGTTATTTGGCAAAAACCACAAAAATGTCCCAAATTTTCAATTAAATCCTAAAGAATATGTAAGATCGAATTCAATGTCGATTTATTCCAAACGTTTATATCGGAGGTTATATAACTGTTGGTATGGAATCGTAGTAAATTTTATCAAATTTATCCCTACCTAACTGAAAAGGAGTGCTTTCCCCTGATATTTATGAGTAATTTGACAAAAACCAAAAAAATGTCCCGAAATTTCTATTAAATCCTAAAGAATATGAAAGATCGAATTTAATGTCGATTTATTCCAAACTTTTATATCGGAGTGTATATAACTGTTTGCATGGTATCGTAGTAAATTTTATCTAGTTTCTGACTGAAAAAGGGCGCTTTCATATGATATTTGTGAGTTATTTAACAAAAACCAAAAAAATGTCCCGAATTTTCTATTAAATGCTAAAGAAAAATGAAACATCGAATTCAAAGTCGTAGTAAATATGTGAATACATATACATAAAATTTTACATAAGGAATAACAATAAACCGTCTAAAAAACTGTCATATCTAAATTTTCAACTAAAAAATTGCTAATTATGAGAAAAAAGCATTTTAAAAAGTCCGGCGTTTTCAAAATGCTCCGTTGCATCTTTAACCTGATTTGACGCGTCGGTCCAGGTCAAATGCATTTTAGGGAAAACCGCCCGAGAAACGAGCAAATTTTAGTAGAATTAAATTTTTTTAGCGAATAATAAATAATGCAATTATGAACTCAAATCATTAAGTAATATAGTAACGCCGAATATTTTCAGAAAGCAATTAAATAACTGTCTAATGTAATATTTAAGAAAACATTTAACATGTCGATGAAATCCGAATTTATATTATTTTATTAAGAAATTTTTGAAATATATAAATTCCGATGTTCTCATTTAAAACTATGATATATTAAGAGTATTTTAGCAAAATTCAGACTTTGTCGCTTTGTTAAGTATAAAGAAATAATTATATTACCATGATAGAAGATTTTCTTGAACATGTTGCTGCAAATATGTGAATTATACACGAAAAATTACAATAAATCGTGCGAAAACTGTCATATCTTGTACATCAAAGTATAAGTAATGATTTTTTATCTAAATTTTTAACTAAAGATATTTCTAGTTATGAAAAAAATGGATTTTAAAAAGTCCGGCTTTTTGAGATCGGCTGTGACTTCAACCTGATTTGACGCGTCGTTCCAGGTCAAATGCATTTTAGGAAAAGCCGTCGACGAGCAAATTTTAATAAAATTTAAATAATAAATAGTACAATTATGAGCTCAGACCATAATGTAATATAATAGCACATAATTTGTTTACATAGCGATTAAATAGCTGTCTTATTTAATATTTAAGAAAACATTTAATCTGTCGATGAAATCAGAATTTATATTATTTTATTAAGAAAATTTATAAATATATAAATTTCAATGTTCTCATTTATAACTATGATATATTGAGAGTATTTTAGCAAAATATCAAATTATAACTTTGAAATGTTATATTTTTATACACAGTTTTTCATTGATTAAATATTTCACAGTTTCATAAAAATGACGTATGAAAATAAACGTATTAAATTCATATATTATTATTTCTGTTCAAAAATATGAAAATTATTCATTTAAATATTGGGAATATTAAAGTCACAATTATTTTTCAGTTCTAAAGAAATCACAAATCCATTTTGGCAAATGAAAAAATATGAACGATCCGTTGAACCGGTTGCTGAAAGTGTTAAGGTAAAGAAATTATAATTAATTAATTTATTATTAAATATTGTCCAGGCCAATATTGACTAGCAATTTTTGTACCTATACTTAGAGTTTTTTTTTTATTTTTTAATTTCTTAGACTTCTTCCGAAGAACAAACAGAAAAACAAAAATCTAAAACCCATCGAAACTTTCCGATGAGTTTCGATGAAGCCATAAGAAATGCTCCAGTAATTGTTACTGTTTCTCCTGAATTTGCAAGACCAGCTATTTATCCTGGCAGGATATAAAAGGATACATGAAAGCTCGAAAAAACATATTGTGAAAAGAATAAGTGAGAAATAATATTTGTGTTACTAAAAAATATTAAAACACTTTGACAAATAATAAGGCTTACTGTTTACTAAGCCAATTATTTAAATGTAACTACAATGTAGTGATAAATATAATTGAATTATTAATACTAAAAATTATTGCCCAGGAAATAAATTAAAAATAAATCATGGCAAGTGCACGCAAAATTCCACGAAAATTGCAATTTTCTAGATTATGATAGAAAATATAAGACTAATTAACAAGTATAAGTTTTTAATTAAAAATTGAAGAGAAAAATAGGAAAATTTATTCATCTTGTCCGAAAAAAAAATTATTGCTTAAGTAGTTATTTTTCAATTTCAATATTATTTTTTTGGACGCTATTATTTTGATTTCTTATGAACCAATTTCTTATTGAAAATATAAAAAAAAGAAAATATAAAGAAATATAAAGTTTCGTGGAATTTAAGTAATTTTTATAACTTAAGTAACTTTTAATAAATCATTTAGATTGTCACAAATGCAATACAAGTTCCAAATCCTGGGTCAAAATTTTTGATAAAATTAATTTTAGTTTAAACTATTTAAAAGATTTTATGTGATAGTGATTTTTATATGAAGTAAGTTATATATAATTTTGATTTGTTTATAATCATATTTAATTGTTAAAATATTTAATTTATTTTGTACTGAATAATTTATAAAATTCATTGATCTTGTTGTGACTATTGTGATAATAATATAATATTAAAAATTTAATTAACTCTTCTTCTGAATCGTACATATATTAATTATAATTTTAATTAAATTATAATTACAATATTTGATAATTTGATATATATATATATATATATATATATATATTATATATATATATATCAAATTATCAAATATTGTAATTATAATTTAATTAAAATTAAAAAAAAAAATAGTATAATATTAAACGAAAAAACGTTTCGGTATTTTACAAATTTTGTTAAAAAACATGGATATATATCATTGAAAATTTTATAAACTTTGTTAAAAAAACCATGGATATTTGAAAATTTTATAAACATTGTTACCAAAATCACGGATATATATTTTTGAAAATTTTATTAACTTTGTCAAAAAAAATCATGGATCTTTGAAAGTTTTATCTTTGTTAAAAAAACTTGGATTTATGTCTGTGAAAATTTTGCAAACTTTGTTAAAAAAAAACGTGGATATATGTCTGTGAAAAATGTATAAACTTTGTTAAAAAAAACCATAGATCTATGTCTTTGGAAATTTTATAAACTTTGTTAAAAATTTTTTTACAAAAATAATATATGTATATATAAAATTTATTATTAAGAATTTCACATTTTGTTGATATATAATTATATAAATTAAATAAATAATTTTAAATTACGATTAATAAATATTTATGTTATTATGAAATTCTTGATAAAAATATTTATTATAAATATATATATATATATATATATAATATATATATATATATTTGACTAAATATAAATATATATATATATATATATATATAGTCTGTATAACTAATATTTATATTATGAAACCATTTATATAATTATAAGAACAATCGAATTGTAACTTAATGAAATAATCCTTTATAATCGTAATCTGATATTGATTTTGTTTAAACACAATTGTTCCTTTGAATTGTAATAGGAGTGTCGAAAACCAAATGCAGTCAGTTGAATATGCAATTGCAAATTGTTTATAATAATTTAATTCCAAGTAGTATGAGATGAGCAAATCGAGAAATCGTATAAGCAACTTTATACTTATGTATTATGAAATCTCCAAGATTTATTATTTAGCATTTTATATGATACCTTGAAGAGGTAAGATTTCTTGAAAATCGATTCCAGCAAAAAGTTTATTATTTTTTGTCTATTTCTAGACAAACCGTAGTTTTATCTATTACTAGAATTTACGCCAAGGAATGTGTAAATAAATCTCGTACCTTTTTAGAATTTCGATTAAAGTACCTATTTGTATATTTCAAAATACAAAATTTAAATTCCGTCGGTTCATAAAACCTCATTTCGTATTCCGAACGGTATTGATTGTATTCAAATGTGGATAGTGTAATATAATCAACTTATTATTATTGTTGAAAAAAGAGCGACGAACTTGAGAAGAAATTGATTTAATTCAGTAAATTTAAATTATATCGATATGTGGAATAATAGATATTTTGTGGTGTTAAAATTTGCAACCTGTCTGTATATACATATATATATATATATATATATATATATATATATATATATTAAATGGTAGAGTCTTGGATTTGCGTACATTGTGTAGAGTTTCGAACAAGAATCCAAAAGTAATACTTTTGGATTCTTGTTTGAAACTCTACACTATATATATATATATATATATATATATATATATATATATATATATCTATCTACAAATATATAAAAATAAGTCGGGTTTTCCTTTCTGACGAATAACTCCAGAACGCACGAACCGATTTCGACAATTTTGCATTCGTTGGAATGTTCTCGGGCTCAGCAAGGTTTATAGCTAGAAAAAATTAGTAGTGCATGGCACCGTGTCTTAATGCAAATTGCTGGAACTTCACGCACCGTAATTGAAAATTTGAGTAATGACATTAGTAAGAATTAACAGAATTATGCTTGGTTAAGTCAACGAGCAATTCTTGCCGCAAAGAATAATTATGTACACGCACCGAATTTCACTATTCAATCAAAAATTGCTGGCGATTTGGTGACATACCAATTATTCCGACTGGTCTTCCGTTTGACTTCAAACGATTGCAATTTCCAGTTCGCAATAACAAGTCGCAAGGCCAATCGCTTAGTGTTTGCGGGATAAATTTCAAATATATTATTTAGAAAATCATTGTTTTTCACATGGGCAGTTATACGTTGCCTGTTCACGAGTTGGAAAACCATCCCGCTTTGTTTGTGTTAACGTCAGACCAAAAAACAAAAAATGTGGTTTATCAAAGAGCACTTCAATGAAACGGATAATTTGCGGATTCACTTTCATTTACTTAGAGAAGTTCAACTAAATAACACTTCATTTTTGTAATCAAAATAAATTCATTACTGTTGTGTAATAAAATCAAATTTTTCCTTTTCAAATATAAAACAAACAAAAAATTCCTTCAAAGACGAAACCATCTGGTGGCGAAACGGAATTCGTCGGGTTTGCTAGTATATATATATATATATATATATGTGTGTGTATAAGTAAATGTATATTGAATATTCCTTTAATAAACATTTGTTTTATTTTACTTGCATTCAACGAGATTACGAGAGTAAAAATAGCTCAGTTGAAATTAAAGAGAAAACATATCGCGACGTTTGTCTTAAATAGACGCCTAAACAACTGAACCGATTTTAAATTTTATTGTCTCAACGTGTGATTTATATCCAACTTAGGTTATAGGCAATATTAAAAATCTCAGTTTAATTCGAAATATTTCACAAAGTTTAAATTTCAAATTTGAATTTCGCGCTTTAAGTTGTACGAGTGACGGCAGCCATTTTAACACATGTTGATAACTTCAAATTGTTCAATTGTCAAACAGATTTCCGTGAATTAACATGCTGTCGCGTTAATTAACGTTTTTTTAATTAAATCCTTGATTAGTTTTAATTAATTTATGCGTTAAAACGTGTAATTAATTTAGTAGATCATTTTGATATAATAAATTTATCGTGAAACGTTAATTAAAATCCAAAAAGTGTATGTGTGTGGAAGTACATTGAATAGTTTGATAAGTATCTCTTTCAGGGCCTTCATTTTGAGTCAATTTTATAAGTAAACAGTTCATTTACAGCGCCAAAGTATCCTTTAATTATATACATGCAATTGTGAATTTGTATAATTTATATATGTGCTTTTATAGGTTATTAATTCATTTACAGCGCCAATGTATCCTTTATTTATATATATGCAATTGTAAAATGTATAATTTATATTTGAGTACTTCCAACACATATCTTTTTATTATCGAATTCTAAATTCACGAAAGTCTCTAAGTAAGTCGTGTGTCCTATATTGTGTAAAGACTTTACTCGGACAATTGCAACAGGTCGAATAGACTTGTAAAAGACTAAAGTTATGTAGTGGTTCTAAAGTAGTGATTTTGTGTCGAGTACTTAAGATTTCTGGCAGATGCTTCAGAGGTGGTTCGTGCATTGGATTTGTGTTCTGGGAGCTGCTATAGAGGATATCGAACAATGTAAGTGCAAAGCATGTTTTATACAAAGCGAGTCAAAGGATATATTTCTGGAAATATATACAGGCATTTATCGTACCATATCTGTTGTGCCTATAGTGTCTTAAATATTCAATATTTAACTTATGTATATATATATATATATATATATATATATATATATATATGCCCATAATTATGAAAGTGGTCTAAGTCATATATTTCTTGTTTCAAGATATTTAATGATTTTCATTTGAATAAATTAAAAAATGTTTTTACATTATGCGACATTCTAATTTTTAATTTTATTAGTCTTAATTAATTTAAATTTATTATGAATATGAAATTTTGTGTAAATTTCATACGATAATATTGTTTTTAAAGTTTGAATTGACTTAGATGATTTTCAAAATTAACTGAATGTCCTATAAATGACTTAAAGCAATAAAGAACTTTGAGTTTTATTTGAAACAATAATTTCATTGAAATAATTCGTGAGCATTTATTAATTATTTTTAAACGGTAATCCATTTTTATCATTATTTCGAGTATTTAAGATTCTTAAAATATAAATGCATTAAGTTTTTCTGAATTTTGAATTTAAAGCAGTCAAATAATTTTTAAAATCTTTATTTCGACTCAATATTGTTTGTAATCTTTAATAAAACTATAATTTGAATAGAAATAAGTAAGAAGATATTATTTATAATTTATTTTTTGAACAGAGTTTACAATTAATGACAAAGTTTTTATTACATGCTACTTTTT